CCCCAAAACCCCAAAACCCCAAAACCCCAAAACCCCAAACTATAAATAAAGAGTTGAAAAACATATTATAATATTATGAATAAACGCTCAGATTTCCCATGCCAAATGGAGCAAACTCCTTCTCCAGAAGACATTCAGCCAAGACCAGACTTCACCTGTTACGATTTCTATATCCAGGAGACTCAGTTCTGGAACCAGAGACCTTCGGGAATTTTCGAAGGCTGAACTGGTAGAGCCCAAGAACTTGTAGGTTACTATACCTTTTATGATCATTTCCTCTCTTTTGAGCCCTAGATAAGTTTGGGTTACGGATAGATTTTGTACCTGAATAGTTCAAACTTTTCCTTAGCAGCGTAATCTTTAGCATTGATTCCTCTAATACGAGATTTAGGATATTTTTGAGAGTTACACCAACTGATGTAGTTCTGACCATATATGAAATACTTTTGAAATGTGTTGAGATCAGAATGGAAAACCTGTTCCGGATGAAACTTGTATGACCAAAGACCTTTTAATCAATGAAGGTGTCGCCCCAGGACAGCTTGAGAAGATTTTCAAAATTACTCAAGAGATGAAAAGATCTAAGCAACCTTCTCTTTTCAAAGTGATACATCATAGCAATAAGTTCACCCAAATAGACTCCAACAAACCTCAAAATTTAATGAAATTTTCGTATGTGAAATCAAAGGGTTTGAGTCGGAAAGATGTGACTTATAAAGCAGCACTTCGCTTGCTGAGGAGACATTTTAAAAACATGTTTAAGATTAAGAACTTGGATATTGATGCTAGGAGACTTTATAGCTTAGCTATTAATGATGTCTACCAAAGGACACTAACCCTTCTGACAGAGCTCATTCCTGAAGAATATTTAACAGAAGATCTGGTTTACTATACTATTGGAATCATTGGCATCAAGAAAGCATCTGAGATGCAATGAAAATCGAGCATCAAGAAAGAAATCACTGCATTCAAAAGATGAACTAAATCATTTTCCCATAATAATCTAGAGAAAGCATTCCATTCAAACAGCTTGATGACTCTATGTTGGTATATCATCCAGAGGTCGGATGATCAAAGAATCTCAGTCTTAAGGACTGAACTTCTGGAAATCACAGCTCCCAAACCTCAAGAGAAGTAATTTCAGCTCACAGATGTGCTTTCGTGTTGTAACCAGCCAGATAATAGAAAGTTTGGATATTTAAATACTTAGATAAAATACTCATGAGTCCTTGCTTTCAGATTCAAACCTTGCAATTAAGAGGCTTATTTCGAAGGAGATAAGATTGGCATCTTGAAGAAAATGAGACTCCTTTGGCAAATTATAGACTATTATATCTGCTGACTCAATGTTTTGAAGGGATAGCAAAAGCTTCCATTCCATCCATCAACACAGGGCACATAAAACATAATTGCTTTTAAATATTAAAGAAATCGAACTTTATGACAAAGCTCTTAACTAGATCTTCATTGCAAAGAAGAAAATGCTAAATCTCTCTGACTCTAATCATTGAGTAAATGCTTCTTCTATTAATTTCTTTAAAACTATTAAACTTTATAGCATAGAAATAGGTACTATTAGTTCGAAATTATGAGAATTCGGAAAATTAACCTATTCCATTGAATCCTATAAGCAAGATTTAGGCTAAGGAAGCTCGAAGAGATGACACCGACCAAAAGATGCCCCAATCACAATAGTTTATACCTCAAATCCTTCTCAAAGATAGTGCTTTTGATGACAAGCATAACCCATTTATGAAGAAGATCTTTACCAAAATAAAAGTGTCCTCCCCAATCTTTAAGTACAGCTTGCACTGAGCTTGTTGTCATCCTAAAATAAAACAAATCTGGAAAGTAGAAGAACTCTTCAATTAGAAAAATTAGACTCATTGTGGTTTACGGTATTATAGCAGCTTTTTACAAGGAATATTGATTCCGAAGTAAGACTAATGGAGTCGTATTTCAAACTTTTGAAGCTAAATATTATAAACAGTGGCCTTATTTATCATCCTATTTCGACCTGTTTATTAGAATTAACCTCAGCTGAAAGTCCTGCTTGAGACTATACCAACAGGAAATTTTACTGTATAAAACAACTAAATCATTTAGAAGGCATTCTTATGAAGATTTTTTTAATTAATTTCATTTCGAAATTCGTCTTTAAGCTAAGAAAAAATTAACCCCAAGGCTTTTGGCCTTAGCTTCATTGCTATAGAGCTGGTTATGATAGCTTCTGAGCTGTTAGCTTGTTTTAAAAGAGAATAGATGCTACTTATTAAATTAATAATCTAATTAGCCATTTTTGGAAGTCCTAAAAGACATAGATTACAATAGTTTATATTTGAATCAATGTTAGAAAGAAGCAAACAGTGCGGAGATAGCATCTACCTTGCTTTAAAGCAAATATAAGGAGCCAAATAGAACTGGATGGGTTAATTCATATTAATATCTTCTGTTTTTCACATCAAAAAGACTATAGTACAAAAAATGTTGATATAATGGTGTCTAAACTCCTTCTATAGTTGCTAAAGATTTCAAGCTTCATTTCAATTCAGATAGAGCTAAGCATAACACCAGCATTTAGCTCTATTAAATCAGAAGTCTTCTCTGAATAAATATTTTCTTTGGCTAATACTTTTAATGATAAGTACTTTTATGGTTTACTTCTTATCTCAAAACACTTGGTTATTAAATCAGAAATATAGGCTTATAAGCACTAGAGAGGAGAATATTATCTTATTTCCTTTTTAACGACCTTGTGCATGATCCGAAATATGCCCATTGATTATCTAGGTAGGCATATGCTTCTATGCTTAATATTAACTTCATTACTTACCATATTTTATGAAATTCCGTTCTATCGTAAATTTCGCAATAATCTTAATAAGATCAAGCCAAGGAGATCCCATGCAACAGATTTAATAAGATCTCATAAGTAAAGAGAACTCATCACTCTTATCAAACCTTGCTAAATATTTCAGGTAAGCTTCTAGTGTATCTCCTAAAAACTATCAAAGGGAAATTTATTTTGAACCCAAGATGCTAAATCTCTCCTAATACTATTTAAATTTGTTTTTCGAACAACACTGAATTTAGAACTCCTCCTATAACTCTCAAAGTTATATCCATCACAAAGAGTGTTTCCAAATTGCTGTAAAAATGCTCAGGAATAACTTCAGATATCTCTGTTTGAAGTTGCTGTTATTCTGGGAATTATTAAATTTGGAAATCATTCAGATACTAGCATGGTTCAGACCTAATTTTAGCCGAGGAAATCAAACAATAAATTCCCTGAGGCATCATGGGCTCTTAATTTGATTAGAACATCAATTTAGGTGAATACATAAGGATAACAACTTGTATCCCATTGTCCAGAAGGCATGAGTTCCACTCAGATTTAGGCCTAAAATTTTAGGAAAAATCTTAGAGAGGTTAAACCAGGAAATTATGCGATTTATTTAATATCAGAGTTTGTCTAGTGCACACTTATTAAGCTTTGCTGATTTATCTCAGTATAGTAGCTTCATCTTGAATCTTTCATAAAATTACTTAAGAAAAGAGTTGACAGCTCTGATTTTCTAACAATGTAGTTGAATTATTTTAATAGCCTATATACTGTTTATTAATAAAGCAAGAGACATATTTATAGAAATCTTCATGAACATTTCTGATCGCTTCTTCAAGGTTTTAAACTTGTATAGGATTGTTAAAAGAGCAATGGGTCTATTAAATCTCTCTTTGAAGTTCCGACAATTTAAATTAAAATTTATCGTTTCGAGAACATTACCAAAAATCAAAAATAGATAAATAAGAGTGAGTGATATACTATTTTATTAAACCTCAAATTCAGCTCTAACCATATTCCTATGGCTCTAAAACTAATTCTAATTCCAAATTCTTACTCTTTTCTTCTCTATCTCTTCATCTAACCTCAATTTGCCAACTATCCAAAAAACAATTGATTTCCAAATCAACCTTCCCATTCAACTTCAAACACTATAATTCCACTTCCTACCTCCTCCAAAATCTTTGACCCTCTACCAACTAAACTCTCACTTATCTAATAACAATCCATCCCAAATTCAGCATTAACCCCACAAATATTAAGCTTTAAAACTATTCCCATCCAAGAAAAATTGGCCCATGGCAGCTCAAATCAATGCTTATTTGGAGCTTACGCTATCTCAAATTATTTTAGAGCTATGAATAATACAAAAACAAACAAACTTAGGGAGAATAAACCATCATTGTTTAAAATAGTTATTTCTCAGCCATCTTTAACTTCTTGGGGTTTTGGGGTTTTGGGGTTTTGGGGTTTTGGGG